CCACCGCCTTTCGCTGACAAATTAAAAAATAATCTATTCCACTTCCACCTAACTAAAACAATAATTATTCATTTTCAATATCATAATGGTAGATGGCCTAATATGAATATAGAGGGTCTCATAATGGTCGACAACCCAATTTGGAAGTAGAGAGCCTTGTAGTTGTAGATGGCCTAGCATGAGGTGCTATACTTAAGAGTGTCTATTGAGTAGTCTTCACCTTGTTAGCCATTGTAAATAATTATTGATTCCATCTAATATTACTAGCCCATCTAACTCTTGTTGATTCATATCGATAAGGGATAGCGTCTACACTTCTTCCGTGTTGATTAATTTTTATTTTTATTTTTTTCAAATCGACCCATCGCATATCAACATTTGATATAATATAAGTGAGTCGAGGGGTCCAAGTGGTGTAGGGTAATGGTAATCTTGTACAAATGGCACCCCATGGATGGGTTTGATCAGTATAAACGGGTGAAGACCTACCGTCTTCATTCTCTTCCGAATTTGCAAAAATGCTAGAAATATTATTCCTTCAAACTCTCAAGGTAATTTCTTCCTCTATTCTTCCTTAATTTTAGTTTTTTCAAGTTGTCTTCCTTCATTTCATTGTAATTTTAGAGCCATTTTAACCTCTTCCTCCAACAAAAGTGGAAATGAAGGGTTGAACAAGTCGACCAACTGATCGTCGGATGGGTTGGTAGATTCCCACTAAAACATTGCTAGTCGATCGTCGACCAACGACCAGCGATGGTCAACGACTGTCGACCAATAGTCCGACTGCCCTCAGGTGGGGTCGATTGATCTCTCCGTGACTCCAATAGCTCGATCCATTCTACTTAACTACATATCTTTCAACCAAATTCTCCCAAAAAGCATATTGGCTCAACTAAGTCTTCTAATCGAAATTTAGAAATTTGACAGGATGTGACTAGCGAGGTGGTTGTTCTTGATATTTCAAAATGCTATAGCATTAACAACTCCCCAATCAAATTGGAAAAATCACTTAGCAAATTCAACCGTGTTGACAATTATGTTTATGGAGTCCTTAGGCACAAAGAGAGATCTATTACCAACCCCCGCATGGTTGTTACGTATAAAGACACTATGGATGGTGGTCTTCGATTCCCCATCCATCCATTCTGTCTCAATTTTTAATGAATTTCACCTCACTTCTAAATCCTAATGCATGAAAAAATGTGTTATACTTCTTATATATTTGCCTCAGCAAGGAAATCCAAAAGCTTTATAGGGCCAAACTTGTGAGCAAGAGACAAAAAACGATAACCTACAATCTGTTTTGGCCCAAGCACCAGAGGAGGCAGTAGAATGATATAAGGCTTTGGGGAAGTGTGCTAAGGACTTGGAAGCATCTATGAAGTAATAAAAACCATCCTCAGATTATGTCATGGCCTTATATTAATATTGGGAAAAGGCGTAGCGCCGTCCATCAAATTGGCCAAGGATTAGTATCTGCTAAACACCCTTCTATCGATCCATCGGGTTTCAATTGGTTATCGATGTAGAACAAGAAGAGAGATAACAGAGCTAATATCCCAAGACATTTGGGCACACATCACGAGGCAGTAGCAAAGGGACTTTCCTCCATTTGATCATCTAGTGATTTTTTCCTGGTTCGGAATGTGGACAGAAAATCACACTTTATTGAGTATAAATGATTTCTCATTGAACATTATTGTTGTTTATTTTTTCTCCATCTACCTTGTAATATAGATGATGTTTGCTAATGTGTAAAAGTTAAGTTGCCTATTCTCGCACAACTTTTCTAATTCGATAGCATTTAGTTAGCGAGTGCAACAACCAACGGGGTGTGCCTAGCTACATAATGGCCAACTGTCGACCGTCGTATGGCCGATAGGCACGAGTCAATTGCTATGCAGTCAGCATAGGTAGTGATTTCGATTTTCATATTTCAATTGCCAATCTTTAACCAAATTTATGATTTTGTTGATCACCACCATGCCTCGGGCTATGTCGAATAGTGGGGTCCCTTGGGCTATGTTGAATTGTAGACTCCCTTAGGCTATATTGAATTGTATAGCACGTAGTCTAATAATTTAGGGCCTTAAATAATTTTTAATTTTGAAGGCTTTCTACTATGACATTAGAGCACTATCGAACTGATAACCAATTTATTGGTTTTATTGCTCTCCACCTAACCCCTTAGGCGATGTCTAATTGTAGAGCATGAGGTCTAGTGGTGTAGGACCTTAACTAATTTTTGGTTTGAAGACTCTCCACTAGACTGTAGAGCTTGTAACCAATTTATTGGTGTAGGACCTTAACTAATTTTTGGTTTGAAGACTCTCCACTAGACTGTAGAGCTTGTAACCAATTTATTGGTTTTGTTACTCCCTTCCTACCCTTAGGCAATGTCAAATTGTAGATTATATGATCTAGTGGTTTAGGGTGTTAACCAATTTTTGGGCTATGTCGAAATGTAGAGCGCAGTTCCAATGGTTAAGAGATTTAACCAATTTTTTATTTTGTAGGCTCTCCACTATGACCGTAGAGAAAATTTAGGATGTTGGGAGAAGTTTAAAGCCACACATTGACATACTTGTCTTCCTTCTTCAGTAATTCATGCATTGAATCCGAGGGATTTTTGGAAAGTGACACTTAAAGGCTCGATTTCGCATCTCATTCATCAACACGATTACTACTAAAGACATTTGAAGGTCTTTTATCCTAAATGTTGCTTGGCTAAACCTAGCGAAGTTTCGTTACAAATGTTCATTTCTTTCTTGTACAACTTGCATCAATCCAACGATGTCTTTTTCTTCCTCTCGCTTATTAAGAAGTAGTCTCAAAACTCCTAGAGAACTCATAAGATGTTTTGATAGACTGGTGTGCCAAAGTTGCTACCTAGTCTCTGGCCTCTCTCCTTAGTGTTGGGAAAAAGATCGGCACATTGCTACGTCTGGGGTTGCATAGAGCTCATCATATCAACGAAGGTCCGTAGGTGGTCAAGCAAATTCGTAACTTCGTCATACGCCTCTATCATAGGCTATTAGAAGCCTTTCGATAGGGGGACTGCCATGATCTTAGGTGCAAACAGGTCTTCTTCCAAAATCATTTGCCTGCATCTGTCTTTCTTCTTAAATAATGCATCGTTTATTTTCTTGGTCAACATGTCCTCCATCTTTTGTTCCTAGTCTACCATGGGACATGGAACCCGAGGAACTACAACCTTAGAAGCCCCCAAATCTTCTGTCATTGGCTGAATAACAAGTTGGACAACCACTTATACCTCTTGAGGCAGTTGCTCATGCATAACCTCCAATGGGCTCTGTGGTGGGATTGTGGCTCTCTGCAATTGACTTTGTGAGAGGGTCATCATGACTGCCAACTGAGTCTCCGAAATACTAAATTAGCCTCGTATTGCATACTGCAGCAGCGACTATGAATCATGACCCTTGTGACGGGCACCGACTTCACCTCCATCATGTTCTCAACTAATCGCATATCGCTCTTAGTTTATCTTCTTGACATCGCTTTTATGTTCAATGCTTCCTCCAGAAGATGCCAATGAAATTATTATAAAACAAACCTCTGTGCCCTCCTGGTGGCGTAAGGTGTTTTTGCTACTCCGATGAACAAGTGTTGCCTGTGAAATGAGGTTAGGGCTTTCTCCCGCATTGTACCTCCGACGTGAGAATCAGTAAGGGATTTAAAATGGTAGACTTAGGAAGAAAAGTTATAATATGTATTCAGAAAAACAAAATTTCAAGGCCCATACATCTATCGCCTTAAGAGTATTTATAAGTGTCTGAAGTCATGTAACTGTTGGGCAATTATCATGCCATGTGTCCCACGTAGCACTTCCCACCACCCTATGTTCTGAGTAGAAGACCTCTACCTATTTACCGGTTGGTTGTGTCCATAGCAACCGTTGATTAATTCCATCGATGTTTTTATGGTTAAATGTTATGTTGACCTCGTAGTGTTAAACGACCTAGTATGAATATAGAAGACCTCATAGTGATCGACAGCTCGACATAATTGTAGAGGGCCTCGTAGTAGCAAACGATCTAGCATGCAATTAGAGGGCCTTGTAGTAGTAGACAACCTCCTAATGGTAGACGATCTAGTATGAATGTAGAAGGTCTCATAGTGGTCAATAGCCCATCGTAGACACAGAGGACCTTGTAGTAATAGACGACCTAGCATGCAAATAGAGGGCCTTGTAGTAATAGATGGCCTAGCATGCAAGTAGAGGGCCTTGTAATGGTAAACGACTTAGCATAGGGTGCTCTACATAGAGTGTCTATTGAGTAGTCTTCTCCTTGTTGACCATCGTAGATAATTATTGATGCCATCTAATATCAAATATAAAATTTTAGATCTAAAAAAAAATAAAATTAATGGCAACTTTTTAAAGAAAAAGTAGTATTTTTTCTAATTTAGAACTAGAATTTCATATTAAACTCGTGCTTAAATTTTCATATTGAGAACTCAATGATAATAGATATTCTGGCGTTGATTGTGGCTTCATAAGTTGTGGTGGCATCGTGGCGATGAGCCGATGATGTTGGTGTGAAATTGATATTCGTAATGCTTAGGGTTTCGTTGTGATTGGCAACTTTGGATAGTGAAACAGTGAGGGAAACAAATAAAAGGGTCTGAAATTGAGTAATACCATGTAGCCTCACTGAGGTTCAAACCCCAATATAGATAGTATTAGATGATAAGCTAAATGAAATATAGAATTAAATAAGTAATTTAATTCCACTTATTTTTGAATGTTACATTAACGCTTCCTAAACTAGAGTTGCAACTCCAATAGAGTCAAATATCATTACTCTTTAAAATTGGTTTTAATTAAAATCGGGTAAGTTTTATTAAAGGTTGGACGAAAAGGAATAATTATGAATAAAAATGGGATACATTTTATTTTGTTTTTCAACAAAAGTAGGTGTTTTGTATAATTTCCACATTCATGAAACGTTTGAGAAAATTACACCAAGAAACAAATGTAAAAAGGGGTAAAGACTGGAGATGACGACTTAACTTTGAAAATCTGATACATCAGATAGAATTATTTGTCCATGGAGCGAATCGAATTTGTACAAAAGAAGTTGGAAGGAAAACTTCTCTCTAATCATCAGAAGCTCGTATTTCTACAAACTTTTAATACTGAAATTGTATTTGTTACAATGTACACATAGTAGACAAATTCTATTTTGCCTTTTATTCTGAAATCCGAGGTCGCCTCTAAAATGCATAAACCTTCTCATGTAGAAAACCAGATTTCCGAGTCAAGAATCCCTACTATTATTCTTTTTCTTTTTGCCTCAGTTCATTCAGCTCGTTTTCGATTTCAGGATCTTGAAACTTTAATGCTGAGTTTGTGCTTGGCACACGAGTTCTCCCCTGTGGAAGCTCTCCCTTCTGTTAAGTAAAAGACAACATTTATCAGTAACTAACACCATATTTATCCCACACGAAAATCTAACACAAACCAGTTCACAACATGTCTTGATAAATTTGCCAGGCAAGAAAAAGAAATAATTATTCTCAAGGCACTTCTGCCAGCCATGCATTGTCTCCATAAGCAGTTGTAAATCGTAACCAATGAAAAAATAAAATAAAAAATTCCTTTAATGGGAGAAGAAGAAAATATAATGCATGGTCCGCATGAAAAATGAGATACCTTTGTGCTTCCTGATAATTCTTTCTTTAAGTTGTCGAGGTCATCATCAACCGAAGAACTCTCTAACAATGCAAACTGCAAAATCCAAAACCTTGAGAAAATCACAGTAGTATATTTTGTTGATTTGAATAACGCGCAACTAAAAGGTTTCCAGGTGAGAACAAAAGGTCACAATGGATCACTTACGTCTCAAACTCTCCTTAAACGGTTTGGGTTTTTTTGACAAAACCTTTCAGTTTTGCAAACACAAATTCAAAAAATCTCAAACAATAAGTAGAAATGGAAGTATCTAAAAGTATAGATCTTCTCAAAGGGTAATTCTTAATCAGCACATCCTACTTAAAGGCTTTTATAGAATAATAATCATTCTTATGCTATTCTAAAGAATGCACCATCATAAAAGTTAAATAGAAGAACAATGGCCTTCTAAGAATCTTTCTTTTATAAACCTTAACGGAGTCTAACCAATGGAAGCTATAAATAGTAAGAAAAATATAATTTCATTCTAATTCAGACTCAGAGGTACATGATATCCTACATCTACTAGAGCAACTCGAAAGAACTATGGAACATAATAATTGATCAACTCCACTTAATCCAGGATTTATCTAAACTAATTAAATTACATGCCAGTATCTAAAAAAGTAGCTCAGAAGTGTTGAGAAAACATTTATATTATGGATAGAGATATATAATATGGGTGTGTTATGAATAATATTTTTTTTTTAAAAATGAGTGGTTGAAATTTTTTTGATTTACGTGTAATATTATTTTATTGAAGATTGTGTGGTTAAAAGTAGGAGAGAGAAAAATTTAATTTAATGTAATGAGAAATAATAGGGCTCAAACAGGTATATAACAAGCAGAAATCTTGCAAATTACTACCTCTTGTCGCAAAAATTGCCAGTGTTGCCAAAAGTTCCCGTTTGCTCTCATAATATTCTTCTTTTTTTCACCTCTTTATCCATATAACCTTAAAAGTGAAAGGTGAACCAAATCTTGATTTGCTTGTGCATTAACATTTCATCACTTGCATCGTTAATATTTTCAGATAGCTCTTTCCGATACCATAACATCATTTTTTTTATTTTATTTTTTTTGTCATTGTTTCAGCATATTCTACTTCCTCCGGGTAATGCTATTCATCAGCATTGCGATGAACAGCAGTGTATTGGGAATTTATTTAACCATGCACAGCGAAAAATAAAATTAATTATAATTCCTAGGGGACATAATATTGAATCATACAATGCTCCATCTCTATGGTCTCCTCCTCTTCTTACATTTTCAATTAGTCTAGCTATAACATATATCCTATACTAGTTGACACACATGCCTAAAAGAATTGGATACATGGGCCCATAGTAATAATAATGGATTCGCAAATTCAAAATAAATAAGAGCTTCTAGGCCCAAAAACAATAAGAATAAAACTAACCATTGAATACATCCATGGTCGAGTCAATAATCATCAACTAATTATACATTCATCACATAAATGCATTTCTATATAATATCTACTATTATATATAAACATATTTCAAGTTCCTAACAATTAAAGTCATCCAAACTAATTTACATAGATAGATCGAAACAATTAAATAAATAATTAATCAACTTAGAGTCAAACTCTAATTCCAAAATTATAAGGCGAAACTATTTCATTAAAATCAATTCTAATTAAATATTAAATTAGAGTCCAACTCTAATTCAATAAGGTTCTAGGGCGAGATTATTTAACTAAAATCAAATTATAATTAAATATCATATTAGAGTCCAACTCTATTTCTAATTGAATTAACATTTTAGTTAAGGATAAAACTATTAAATAAAATAAATACTATTTAGGGCAAACTTATTTAATTAAAAATAAAATTTAATTAAATACCAAATTCGAGTCCAACTCTAATTACAATTGAATTAACATTTTAATTTAGGATAAAATTCATAAATAAAATAAAATTCAATCTAGGGTCAAAATTTAATATTTAAGGTAAATTCCAATTTTAACAATTATAAAAAGTCGTCAATTTTAAATAGAATTTTAAACTGGTAAAAATTGAAATTTTAAGGTCAATATAATTTAATTTAAAACCTTTTCGAAGTTTGCATTTAAAACCCCCTTTTAAAAATTGCACTCTAACTCAAAACAATTTTATAAATAGACCTTCCAATTTCAAAAATTACAAACAAGTACTTTATTTAAAATTTCAAGTTGACCCCGGAATGAAAATTTTAGGCAAGGGCCTACAATTTCAAAAATTGCAAAGCATGCCCCCGTCCCCAATGCATCCTCCCCGATTCTAAAACCCTAGATCTAAAATCAAGGGGGTGGTGCTGCTGCCATAGTCACTGTTGCCGCCGCCGCTTCCTACAATCTTTCAACCCACTTTTGACCAAAAATTAATCTTGTTCTCAAAAATAGTTTTTAGAAGATGAAAATAATTTTCTTAAAAGCTAGAAACAAGAAAAAGAAATACAAATAAACGTATAAAAACAATTTCTAACAAGCACAAAGTAAGCTCTAATACCATACTTGGAAATTTACTAAATCATTCACAGCGAAAAATAAAATTAGTTTCAATTCCCACCAAGGATCTACTTTGTACTTAGATGAAAACTGTGATACGAATTATACCTTTGTTGAATTCTACAAAATCCATTGCTTATCTTGAACACGTTCAATCAATCACAATTTGCAATCCACAACTGTCCAATTCTCCGGTCTCCAATGAAAATCCACACAGAAAATAAGAATGAAAGAATTAGGGCTTCTCTCTTCTTGTGCTAGCAAGATAATGCCCTCATTTGGCCCCCATTTTTTGAAAATGAAAATAGATAGAATAGTATTTTATTTTTATTTTTTGAAAAATAAGTGGTTGAAAAAGAAGAAAAAGTTTTCAATTTACGTGTAATATTATTTTATGGAAAATTGCGTGGTTGAAAATAGGAGAAGGAAAAATAGAATGTAAAGAAATTTAATGTAATGAGGTTCAAACGGGAGCAATAAATTATTTGTTTTTTATTTCTCAAACCATAGCAACCTATTAATAAACTTTAAGTGGGCTTGGCCAGACTCTTAAACTTAATTGGGTTAAATATTTAATTAATCTAATTAATTAAATTTGGTCAATAAATTAATTAATTCGGCCTATAACAAGCAACACAATTAATTAATTGACCAACGCTTATCAATTAATTCATAAATATCATTCTTCTAGTTCTCTTTTTGTGTGTAGCCCATTAGGTTTCCGATCAGGATGCTTAACGATGTGAATTATTATTTGACCCATTCTAATTTATCATCAATTCATATTCATAATCCCAAATTGATATCTAGCAATGTGTCGGGACAATATACGTGATGAAAAATGTCACCTGGTATAACAAAACAATACTTGTTCATTTACCTGAAAAACCATAATCATTTTGTTAATATGATCCGATCAATTAGAGATAAAGTATGTCAATATCGATTATTGATCATATTTTTTATTAAGTTTTTTAACTTATTAGTAAACCTTGGCCAAGAATTTTGTTATCAACTTAACTGAGTGAAATGTAGATCATAATCTCCTACTATATAAGAATAATGAAAACTCTATTGATCATTCATAACATTCATATGATTTTTAACATACTCGAACGATGTCGTATTAGCGACTCTTGGCAAAGTAACATTCAACATCACCAAAGTATGACATTCCTCATATAAGACACTATATGATCTCAAGTCGAAAAATCATTTTAACTACCAAGCATTAGATATTAATCACTAACACTCAGATAGTTATCTATGTAAAATCTCTCCAAAGGGTCGCCAATGTTTTGTTCAATAACAAAACATTCACGTGTTCATTTAAGTATCACCATACTTTAGCTTGTGAAATCAGTTACTTACTTCACAAGTAAGGAATATTATACGTGATGGTCTATCCGTAATAACGATATACGTACCTCGTTATTACTTACAATCACGAATGATTTAAAGTTCGGTCATTTGTCATTTGTATCTCATAATCACAACTCTTTGTAATTAAAAATTACTATAACTTGAATCTACGGACTCTATTATTTAATTTAAGAGAACAATAATAACAGATCTTGCTATAAATGAATACATCAATTATATATATTACAAGTGTTTATGTCCAAAATCAATTAGACTTAGGGCATAACACTTACACAGTTTATGTGGCAGTGGGTCAATGCCACATTGTCTAGTGCAGTGAGGACGCATCTTTTATTGCAAAATGCGGCAGTGACCCCACTACCACATGACAGTTGTTCATCACCACTGCTAATGAATAGCAGTATTCATTTCATCCACTATTATCTAATATTAGTCCTAAACACATTTCTTGAAAAGCAACATGCAAATGACTGCAATTGTTTCTTAAATTTTGGTATCACTGTTAACCCGTTAATCCAGGCTGGATAGAGGTAAAAAAGAATATGATAAACTAAAATTACCGAGAGAATTGTTAAGTAAATGATTAAGAATATTGCTACCTTTCCTTCAAGTTCATCACCAGCCAGCTGATTAAGTGCATCTGCCTGAGATTCCATTGCCAAAACTGTCAGGAAGCAAAATGACAACTTCGTTAGCCATTATACATCAGTGATCAGTCTACGTCAATAGATTTACTTTTGTAATCATTTAATTCACAAGATATCATGGGTGATGCTTGGTAATCAGATGCAAATTCCATTTCATTGCCTAAAAAATTCGGAAGGGTGCAAGTAAACCAATTCAATGGGAGTACAAATAGTATTATTTTTTTGACGACCAGCTGCTGATAATGGTTTGAGCAATGATCAAGTCACTGCTTGAGCTGCTTAATTTAACTAGACCAAAATGGAATTCTCAGGTCAAACTTTGGGTTTGCTATCTACATAAGCTGATTCACTACTTAAATTATGTGGTGTGAGACATCTGATTTTATGGTTCTATTTCTTAAATTTTCTGACATATTCCTAGGGAACCAGGGTCGAAAAGATTGAAAAGTTATCATTCACAAAGACTGATGGAGGAGTCCTTGAAGAGCAAAGATTAGTAATTTTATTTTTTTTTTCAGAAATCACGCAGGTTTGGTCTTATAAATATGAGAGGAAGGTACTTGACTAGTCAAACAATATCCTTATTCTGCTACCTTCCATAGTCCAGGGTTGTCCTATTAAAGATCCTGTTGTGATCCCTACACTAATAGAACTTGAAATCTTCTCTATTACAGTCCGTCACAACTTAGGCCCATTTGGGAACCTACACAGATGGTTTGGGCAATTGATTAAAAAAATAAAAATTAAGGCCTCTAATTCAACGAGATCACAAGCTAAACTCTGGTCATCACTGATATGTTTGTTGCCTCATCGCCAAATTAATATCCAATGTGTGACTTCACAAATATAGGAATTCATCATGTATCAAATAAATCCTCTAGTGGCCCACGATGAGAGATCAAATAACGAGTTCTGAGATGGCACAAGAAAATTGAGCCACCACATTAGTACTAACATATCCAGGACTCATCTTCTCAGGCTCATTTAGTGTTTTGGCTAGCACATGAATTCTAGCTAGCCAAAATCCATGGTATAGTGCTAGAATTCACACCCAAAAGGAATGTGAAAGTGGGCAGGGACGAATTAGAATTGTCACTGCATTTGTTAAGCTTGACTTGATTGACTAAGATAATAAATGCAAATTTTATAGAATGAAACTTCATTTGGATCAAATAATATAGAACAGTTCAAACTACATGAAACAATGTTGACATATTTTATATGCATAGAGATGAGCCAAATATTGACATTGCAGCCAACAAGAGCATATGTCAGATTGAGTATGATCTCAAAGAAAACAGAGATTTAAATCAAACTGGGATTCTTGAGTTTTAGCGAATGCGAGAAGAGAATAACAAACTACAACTCATTGAAGCTCCCTAGGCATTCGGTTTTACAAGACATGGAATAGATGAAGTGTGATATCTATGGATAATATCTTAAACATAATTTAGTTTTAAACATTATGAAATACCAAGAGCATAATTTTCTTGAATACTTAAACCTACTGCTACCGAAGGATTACAGGCATTGAATTCACATACATGTCAACTGCAATCTAAGAGTAAGCTTAACTTCCTCTCCACAAGTAGTTGTATGAAAAACAGTACACCCACTTTAGGAAGCAAAAATGCAAGTAAAAATCTAAATGATAAGAATGAAAGGGAAGCGAGTAACCTTTTTCCTCCATCTTTTCAAAAACTGACAAAGCACTGCTTGTGTTTACACTCCCCAACATTTCACTTACTTTGGTTGCAGTCCTGAAGAAAAAGTGGCGACGTGGCTACTAAGAAACATAAATTGCAATGTGAAAATTTAACAAACTAATAAGGTTAGGAACATACTTAGCAGACTGAGCTCGTGCTTTTAGAGTATCTTTTTTAGACTTAGCTTCCTGTATTTTGCTTTCTAAAAGCTGCCAAATGATTAATATAGGTCTATAAATAATTAGCAAAAACTTTCTACTTTCAGTATTACTACAATAGCAACATTCATTAAATGGCCAATACAGATACGCACGCACGCAGCAAGACCAGTGTTAAATTCTAATTGCTTTCAAAGAACAGAATAAAAAAACTGAAAATATAGTGGAAGACGAACAGAGAAAGCATATCAACACACCCGTGTATTTGAGACAAGGTTATCAACTACACCCTTCTGCTGATCAAGTTGAGCCTTTAAAGAATTTGCATTATCCTGTAATTTGTCAAAAGCATGGTAGACTGATTAACAAGACAATTCAATGCCCACCTCACTGTTTCCTTATTCATCATTCCAAAGAAAATGCAATGTACTATTGAACCACACAATGCAATAAAGAAAAGCAGAAATTTTTTCTTGCGGGATTGGAGAGAGAGGACAGACTCAAAATACAGCACACTAATTACTCAACCACGCTTCAGTCATCTCAGCAGATCTCCTTCAACCATGTTGCCAAGTTTAAACGACAAAATATTAGTGAATAAACCAATGTTCGGATCCTAAAAAAATTTGCCTAAAGGTAAAGGTTGCTTTACCCTCACAAAATCAAGCCAAAATGCACAATTTATTTCAAAAGGAACTCCATCAACCAAAATTCAACTCAGCTAGCTATAGTTATGAAAGTTTGGCATCTAAACTTTTAGAGGTACTCTAAAAACATGATATGTCTATAGAAAATTTATCAGACATCTGTGCCTATGTTTGACTGATGTTTATAAACTGTTTAGCTTTTTAGAAGCACTCAAGCCACTTTTTATTTATTAAAAGGGACCAACATGTACAACTCACTTAACCACCACTCGTTTCTATCTATTATAATTTTACCAATTATAATTATTTCCCAAAAATGGTTTATATTTGGTATTCTTTTGAAGGTACTTTATCATGCCTTACCAGATTTTATAGAATGGATGAGAATCTCACATAATATGTACTCTCCCTCCCAAAAATAAATAAATAAATATTTATCAATCAACTTGAATTCATAAGGCAAGAATTGATGAAAATAATAATAATAATAATAATAATATATATACACACACACACACACACACACATACATATATATAAAACAGAGTGTATCACTATATCATGTTTCCTTCTTTCTTTCTCAAAGTTCCTTACAGCATAAGATTTTCTACGTTTAAGAGCTTCACGAGCAAGATCCTCTTCAACTTTTCCAAGAGCAAGTTGTGCTTTATGATACCTACGAATCAAACTGAAGGATAAAAATGTGGCTTCTTTAAAACAAAATGAGTTCAATGAAGAATTCCTGGGTATTTACCACTCTTCAGAAGCTTGTTGTGCAGCTTTGTATCTGTTGTCCAATTGCTTCTGTGAAGCCAAAACCTACAAGAAAGAAGAATGCTGAAACTTTTCACTTCCTTTCTCCCAATAAGTTGACTCCGTATGTAAAAACTGCTAGATTAGTATTTTCTCTTTCAATAAAGAAAATAAACAGAGAAACTGTAATCTTGGTTAAGCACATACAAGAATTAGTTTTTACCCTGAAACAAAAGGGAAAAGGAAAAATAAGAGTTCAAGGGAATATACTTGGGCAGTAGCTTGACGCATCTTGACCAAATCATCAGTCATCTCGATCACAGTTTGTTCCAGAATCTTTTCTGGGTCTTCAAAGGAGCTTATTACCGCATTTGCATATGACTACGCTTAAAACAGATAATATAGAGTCAATAACATTTCAATGATTTCTGACTGAAGCCAACAGTCCTCGCAAGAATGGTAAGAAAGCCCAAACAACCTTGACAACCCTTGCGAATCGATCAAAAAGGTTCATCCAAGCACGCCCCCCTCCGTGACTATGACGTCTCAATCTACTTGGATAAGATAGCTGTATTCCTGAAACTTTTGAAGTCCCCACTACAAAAGAGAAAAATGAATTTTAGCTTAAGCCTTTAACATAAGTATAGGTGAATAAAACAACTAGAAAGCACAATTAAGAACGAAAATGATAGCAACAATTGGAGAATGTATTTCAAATATAGTCCATAAAGAAACATCTGAGCCTATCAAGAACGACCCTTTTTCCTAAGGAATCTAAGCAATACAACAAGCAAAAATATAAACTGTCAGTACAGTTCAACGGTAATAAGAATTGGTGTAAAATAATTGATTTATTAGTTAGGCGAATGACCCATCTACCTAAGTAGTCAACTCAACAAAATTTATCTTATATTTATGAGGGACTGTACATGTTCCATCTTCTTCGTCACCACTATCGAGGAATACATAAATGAACATTTTTTAAATTAACTTTAAAAGTTCATTCCACGATTTGAACTATGATTGTGTAGTCTATTGCCATTATATACTTGCATCTAGAGCTTTTACTTCGTCACCAATAAGCATAGATATAAAGAACAAGGTTCCTGACAATATAAAATTACATAAATTCAATATGTTACATGTTAGTCTCAAAAAGTTCACTTCAGTGCATTCCAAGCTCCAACAAAACCAAAACATCTTAATGCACTGTCCTTGGGCTTTTAACTTATCTGGGTCTTCCTCAGAAGCCATCCTAGATCTGTCACATTTTTACCAATTTCTAAGTGCAGATTAAAGACCAGTATAGTGCACCAAAAATCTTTTCAGTATTCAGATATGTAGAAGGAACAAAAAACCATTACTACCATGATTATAGAACTCCTCCAAAACTAAGCAATGGACAGTTTCCCAGTTTCGCAAACAAAAGGAAAAATGTCAGGCATATTTTAAGAATTCAGTCTGCAATGAAGCTGATTTGACATTACAGGAAGGGGGAAAGATTTTTACAGTAACTACAAAGCTCTCTGTGTGATATCAGCTACAGCCTTCAAGCAGAACCTAAATGCAGGCTTTCATTTTGACTTATTTATAATATTTAAAGTAACCATCTATAAATCTCCTTCAAGTATCGTATCAATATGAGGGTGAACCATAACCAAAAGAGCACAAAGTTGCTATTACTAAAATTAAACTTTTTCAGTGAGTATCATTGGTTTAAGGCATCAACGGGACAAATAATGAGGTTGGACTGATGACAAAAGAACATGGGAGAGCTTATGGTGTAAATTTAAGCAATTAAGTTTCAATTTCAATGGGATTACAAATAGAGCAACAAAGTTCAATTTCGTTTTAAGTCTCAAATCTATCTCCCACCCTTGAAACATCATCAATCCTGGACAATGTCAGCAGTCAACTATTTCATATCACTGCAAAATAGCACTACTGCCATAACA